CTGTTCAATTTGGCACTAGAATATGCCATTAGGGAGGTAATGCGTACCGAGAAAGGGTTGGATCTGGGTGGGACAACATCCGTGCTGGGCTATGCTGATGATCTGGTACTGTTAAGCGAAGACCTTAAAACTATAAAACTAAATACGACAACGTTAATGAAAGCCGGTAAAGAACTAGGATTCGAAATAAACGTGGATAAAACAAAATATATGGTTAGCTGCAAAAATGGCGATACTACTGGTGATATCGATATAGATGGCAATATGTTTGAACAGGTAGATAAGTTTAGGTATCTAGGTTCTACGATAACTAGAAAAAACGAAATTGAAGAAGAAATTAAGGTTAGACTGAAGGCGGGAAATGCATGTAATTTTCTGTGACAAAACTACTTAGTTCGCGCCTCTTGTCCCGAAATTTAAAAATTAGAATCTATAAAACAATTATCTTGCCTACCGTTCTTTATGGGTGCGAAACTTGGCCGCTTACATTAAGGGATGAGCAGCGTCTTAAGGTTTTTGACAATAAAGTATTGCGTAGAATATTCGGACCGAAGAAGGATGAGTTAACCGGAGAGTTCAGACGATTACACAACGCCGAATTGCGTGAACTGTATCCGAGTAATATAATTGAGATAATTTCATCGCGGCGAATCAAATGGGCTTGTAAAGTTGTAGGACTTAGTAACGAGAGAATTCCTAAAAAGTTAATATTTGCTGTGCCGAATGGTAAGCGTCCGAGGGGTAGACCGAAGCGAAGGTGGGAAGATTGCATTAAAGCCGATCTGAAGGGACTGGGTTTGGACGGCGAACGGTGGAGGGAGGTGTGTAATAAGCGATTGATGGTGTCGGCATCGAACCTTCGGGTTCGCTAAGCCTTTTTATTATTATTATTATTATATAATATCCAGAGCAAAAAAATAATTTTATTTTTGGATAAAAAAAGCATCTCTGAAACGTTCAAATTATTTTCATTTCTTTTTAATTTCACATGATTGTATAGAAGAAACAAAACATATATATATCTTTTAAAACTGTTTCTCATGGAAAATAATACATTCTTACACACTTAAGGGCAATAGCTATTAGAGTTTAATGTAAAACATTGATACCACATATTCACCTAAAAACAAGTAAATAACAACAATAAAGATATTATCTTAAAATGCAGAATTGAAATTAAAGTAAAAATATTCACATCCAACCTAAGTAGTTCAGTCGACTTTTAATACGTTATTTCATTACTAGAACTAGTTATACTGATATATTTTAACTAGATTTTGTTAAATATCTCAAATGTAAGATCCATGATATTTATATTCAGTATGATTTTTTGTAATTTTCAGTACATATTTATTTATACTCTTAGTTTGTAAAAAAAAACCACATCTTATTTGTGATTGTGTTTATTTCCATTGAAGTTCAACCAGTTCGTCTTGGACTCGATTTCTACCTTAAATATCGAAGTTATGTGAACTTCACCCATATTTTTTGTATTTTAGCCACTGAAACGATGAGGAAGCTATACTGACCTTAGTTGGCAGACGTTTTTTATGGTCATTCCACGTTTATTCTGGATTGACCTCATCTTCTTCTTCCGCTAATTATTAAAGAAAGATACAGAAAAATGTGCGAAAATAACAGGAGTCCCACAAGTCCTTTTGCAGAAAGCTTTAGCAAGATCAGAAACCAACTGGTAAATGAATTTAAAGATTTTTATTTCATAAAGTATATTTTTATCATAGAATGATTTTTGTTCTATATATCAAAGTTTTTACTATATGACAGGAATATGTCTGGAAATTAAATTTTCCAATATAAATTAATTTATTGACTGAATCTCAAGTATAAATAATTAACAGTTGAGAAATTACAAAAAAAATAAATAAAATAAATAAAAAATAAATGAATATATCTGTACCTCGGAGGTAAAGAGCACGATGTCCATTTTTGTATTTGTTTAGAGGAGCCAATTCTCTATAACTTTGAGCTATTGAAATGGATTTCATAGTTTCTTAATTATTTAATAAAGATATGGACAGGGTATTCTTTTCCTCCAAGGTAAAGATATATGTCTATCTAGCAATAGCAGGAAAAAAAAAAAAAATTAAAAACAGCTATACTGAAATATATAGTTGACATTAACTGCGCCTTCATTCGGTGTGGTAACACAACGAACGCAAATCAAGTCTGGATTTTAGGTCAGCATTTCGCATGAGCTGACTGGGATCAAGAAGAGTATCGCATACAGCCTATTCAGTAGCAGTCAAATAGGTCTACTAATCTCTGAGGTCTGCACCAGCATTGAGTCGAGATGAGGACCATTGTCGAAGAGCCGGTCTTCGGAGAGGATGGTCTTTCATGGAGACGTCAAAGAGGATACGCAACATCCGAACGCAAGAGAGCGAGCTGAACTAACAAACGAGATTCAAAAGGCCGAAGAGTAAACTTCTATTTAAAAGGTATCTTTCGCAATCGTCTATGTCTTCATTCTGAGCCATAATACATAGTTTGTAATCTTTCAAAACAAATATTATTCTATGTTTTGTTTATTGACGAATAATAATGCAATCTTCCACAAACGATGTATATATTATACGTATTAGTACTCTAACAATCCATTCATATCATATGAGCCCCTTATTACCAAAGTCTAATCATATTTTTGGGAATTGAGATAACTGATTGTAATGTTTTTCTTTGTTATTTGACAATGATTACTTCCAATTAACAACAATTGAATATATTTGTTATATTATCAAAATTGCATGTTTACAAGTTTACGTTTCGGGATATTTACTCCCATCTTCAGAACCACAATCCCACTGATCTTGTGGATACATGGTTTAAATCTAAACTGCTCAATCGACAGTTTCTATTTCATGTTATAATAAATCTAGGTATATAACATCTAGAACAACATTTTGCTTTTAGACTAATTATAGGGTGTCAGACACTAAATACCCCGATAAATGTCAGACAGTAAATATCGTAAAATCGTAAACATGCAATTTTGATAATACAACAAATATATTCAATTTTTGTTAATTGAACTTCCCAGGAAAAAGAAAGAAGATGTAATGTTTTTCTTTTTCAGTAACCCAGTACGAAGACTGTTCATTATTTAATTTGAACATTTTCCATGGATTAAGCATAATACCTATATCGATTGAATATATAGTTCTCATAAAACTAACCTGATTATAATAAAATAACATGATGAAGGTTATAAAATAAAGTTTATATTTTCTTAATAACATACAGGAAGAAAACTAAGATGTGTGCTTTATACAACACTACAGAAGAGAAAACATCAATAAGACGAGATTAATAATATGAAATATTGATTGTAAATAATAGCCAACTACAGAGAGGATGAAATGCTGAACATTTCCCACGCGTAGAATTAAGGTCCAATTTTTAGTTTCTCAGATATTTTAATCCATATCTTTAATAAAACTCGTTATCATTTGGTTTTCGAAACTATTTTTTCCTTTTCGCCTCTCTAACACGGCGTTGCGTTAAGATACAATTCTGAATAATAGCTCATTACAAAGAGGATGAAATTATAAACATTTCTCTAGCTAAAGATACGCAGGTCTGATTTTTAGGTTTAATCCATGAGATATTAATATACGACATATTTCAATCTATATGCAAAAATACTTCAATTATTCGATGTCAGACAACTTCACACGAGCGTTACACATCGTTAATCTGACGGCTGAATCTAATTCACTCTTCGAAAAAAAAAAAAAAAAAAAAATGGTGACGTTATAGTTTACGAGAAGATGGATCCATTCACGAAGTTTTGGACGGATGTTTGTAATCTGATAAATTTGTAATGTGAGTCTGAATTGCGAACTAATATTTGTTTTTCTTAATTATTTAAGAAAAAAAGTTCATCAAAAGTTTTTTACGTTTTTAAATATTTAATAGTTTACCGTTGCATTATAAAGGGAGGTGATGGTCTGGGGTGGCGGTCGTAAATAGGCTAAACATTGGTAAAACTATTTTTATTAAAAGCCGACGTTTCGACCAGACTTTGAAGGTCTTCTTCTCTAGAACGGACCAGATACAAAAAGGTAGAGAATTGTGGAAGTTACATAATATTTAGACAAAAAATTATAAACAATGTCAATAAGCTTATTAAAATTATAAATAGTAAGTACATTAAAATATAAACAGAGTAAGCTAAGTGACAAGATCCTAAACTGAAGTAAATAGATGGTAACAATTGTTATAGTGTAATATATAATATATGCAAATATGAATATACTTCTACAGATCTACAGGAGAGATTGAAAGAAAAGAAAAGAGGATGTAATATGAAATAATAGACATAAAGGTAATTTTCTAGTTTTTTTTTGTTTCCTCATAACCGAAATAGGTCAGCAAATTTCCCCAATACCTACCCTTATCCTGATTTTCCAGTTCTAAACGAAACTCCTAGCTGAACACACCTGTAAGTCTCTATTTTTATTTTATATACTTATTTATTTATTTTTGGTTTTCTTTTCTTTTTCCACATTCCTATATGTCTATTATTTTATATTATATCCTTTTTCCTTCCCTTTCAATCTGCAGATCTGTAGAAGTATATTCACATTTGCATATATTATATATTACACTACAACAATGGTTACTATCTATTTACTTCAGTTTAGGATCTTGTTAATTAGTTTACTCTGTTCATATTTTAATGTACTTACTATTTATAATTTTAATAGGCTTATTCACATTGTTTATAATTTTTTCTCTAAATATGATATAACTTCCACAATTCTCTATCTTTTTGTATCTTGACGTTCTAGCCCTGAAGAAGATCTGCAAAGTCGTGTCGAAACGTTGGCTTTTAATAAAAATAGTTTTACCACTATTTAGCCTATTTATGACCGCCACCCCGGACCATCTCCTTCCTTTTTACATTTTAATTCGAATGAAATATCTTTCAGATGTGTTTTTTTTTTTTAGTTATTCGAAAAACGAAATACCATAGCATCATGCCTATGTCACCGGAAGTCCTCCCCAGAGAGATAGGAATGTTCGGCAAGGAGTTGTTATCCCATTCCCTATTTCCATTTCCGATGGCGCAGCAGAATCGGTTCACATCGAGGCAAGCATATACCGGCTCTCTTCTTCCTTGTTTGTCTTGCACCGTCAGCTTTGCCACCCATTACGGTATCTGATCTTCCTCCTCTTAATTTAACTATTCCTGTATACACACTTACAAAATATAAACAATCTGGTATATGAATAAGAGTAAATTAATAAAGTTTCTTGGTTTCTGGATGAGTCTATATGAGATCATTCATTCAGGGTTTTTTTTTTCTATAATAATGCATTTTTATTGTTGACTTGTTTAATGTATAAAATATTGTTGACAATCAGCAAATGTGATGGCGATGCATGAAATAATGACATGACAGGCTTGGGGAAGGAAAGTACTCAGCAGTACCTCTTCCCTAACTTGTTTCAATTACTTAGGTTGTCTAAGGAAGGAGATCCCTCATCCAACGTCTTTTTAGTCTTCTTCTCATGTTCTGAGGTATGTCAGCTGCGACCATGTCTCTTATTAATCTGTTATTATATCCATTTAAATTTGTGTAAAATCGTTGATAAAGGGTCGTTATATGTTGGTCAACTGTTGGAAAGTGGAGGTCAGTATGTAGAGTTTTGTTAGTCACATACCAAGGTGCTTTTGTTATGAGTCGCATATTTTTGATTGGAAGGTTTGAAGTTTTTGTAGGTGGGTCTTTTTAGCGATATTTGTGATGAGTATGTCCATATGGGCTTGAGTAAGTATGTATATGTATTCAGTTTCTGTTTTGAATATTTAGAAAAAAAGAGAGTAAAGTAGTTTGAGTCGTTTGTTAAGTGTCTTACGTTTCACTTTAACATGCGGATTCCATGTCATCCTACTGTCGAAGGTAAATCCAAGATAGAGCACCGTGTCCATTTGAGGAATTTGATTGTTGTCAATATAAACTGGAGGGTAGGTGTTTTTTCGAAGAGTAAATGTTGTATGTTTGGATCTGTCATGATTAAGTCGAATTGCCATAGTATGAACCAATCTTGTAATTTAAGTAAGTGATGTAGTGTTCATTCAGGGTTTAAAACCTAATATCTCAGATTTTCATGATTTTTTTTTATTTTTTCCTATTACTACCCTAAAAATCCTCGATTTTTTAAAAGTAGGTGGAGAATGAGATGGAGCCCTCACGTTCAACTATGTAACTCTAATTTGGTTAAAATTGACTTGAGTCCACTAATTGAAGTGAAAACTTAATTTTTTTTAAATTAATTTGAATTGGTATATCTTAGAAACTGAAAATCAGTCTTGCATATTGTAAGCGAGGGAATTTGTTAGCATTTCATCTTCTTTATAGTGAACTATTATTCAGAGTTGTATCTTAACGCGACGCCGTGTTAGAGTAGTGAGAAGGGAAAAAAATGTAGCGAATACCAAATAATAACGAGTTATGTATAGTAATTAAGATTAAAATATATAAAAAACTAAAGTTCGGACCTTATATAAATACTATAAAGAATTAAGAACCCAATTTGCAGTAGTTAATATAAATATTTTTTTCATCATCCGTACAAAAAATAATAGCACAAATATAAAATAAGGCTATGTTTTTTAATAGCTTAATCATATTTATTGCAATTATATATCTGCATCGGCTAGGCTTCGGCTAGTAAACATTCTCTTAAATCGACTATAACCAACTTACATCTTGGCCTTAAGTCCCATAACAAACATTCTTTCCTTTTCACCGACTTGAAGGATCCCATGCTTTTACAACACCGATCTAATGTAGTTTACCGGATACCTTGCTTTACTCCTAATTGTAATAGCTCCTATATTGGCGAAACCAAAAACCATCTGAAAACCCGAATATATAAATAAATAACAAATAAATTAAATAGTTTTTGTTTTATTGCTTTCTATGAAAGAGAAAACATGATCACCTCAAGAAAACACAACATTGTACTTAATTCCTTTTCTTTCAAAGTCCTCCGTATAATAGTCAATGCTCCTTATTATGTTACGAACAAAACTCTACATCATGACCTTAACATCCCTTATGTCCTTGACGTTATTCCATCCAGATCTTCAAATTTTCATCAGAAAATAATTCATCATCCTAATCCCTTAGCACAATCCTTATCCAGTTCCAGTCATACCTACAATCCTCCTCGAAGGTTGAAACGGCAGTGGCCTCGAGATATTTTGTAAAGACGTCACTGGAGTCCTGGCGATGGCCAGCTTCTCAACTTAAGTCATGAGCGTATGTGGCTTTAGTGCCCTCTCTTAGTCTCTACTGGATTCCCATCCCAGTGATGTGGCTGAGAGGGAAGCGCTGGGATCTCTCGGAGTCTTGCCTTATCCTCCACACGTGGGGAAAAAGGCCCGACTCGGAGCACCCTCGGCTGACTGTAAATATTGTAAATAAGTATGAATGTGTTTTTATTTATTTATTTATTTTTTATTTGATGTTTTATCACGTTTGATTTATTCTGTTACTCCAAGTTTTATTTTATTTTATTTTGTTATAATCTTGTTTTTATTTTATTGTATATATGGTATGTTTGTGTTTCATTCATCATAAATACTCAATGCCCTTAATTGAGGCAAAATATATTTTTTTCTCAATAAAATATTATTTAAAATCGTACTTCCCGTTCCGATCAGAATCGGACCATGCATATAATGAACTTTTTTATAGGAATTATTATTTTTTTTTATAATCACATCTCACAGTATCGCCATTAAGAACAAATTCATCCCGTATATGAATACGAATATGAGTATTGTATATAAATATAAATACTCTTGTGCTGAAGGAGCAGTCATTAGGGGAGTTAATTGTCCATTATGAAGCTGAGAGGACTAGCGTGGGTCCAGTTCTCCAGCAGTGTCATGCGACTGGAGTGCGTGACTGGATGCGCAAGGCATGCGAGAGCCAATGCGCTTTACGATCCTCCATCAGCAGTCGAGGAATGCGCACTTCCTACCTGCGGCCCATCGCTGCTCTTCCATATTCTTTTAACAGAACATTCACAAATATATTCTGCGATATGTCAGGATATATATGTTTGTTCAGCGTAAGTCAGAATTCAGAATCAGCGTAAGTCAGTTAACAATATGAAGTACATACCAAGGCTAATTGAATAAATATAGAAAAATATAGGTTATTTTTTTTTTCTAATCCTGCTTTATTTATGCATACACACACACACACACATATATATATATATATATATATATATATTTGGTTTATTATTTTCAATAATCAACCATTGTGATCGACCGAAAAATTCAAAAAATTAACCCCCTCTCAAAATTTGAGGTTTCACTTTTCAGGATGCGTAGAATTCGAAAAACGAATAAAAATTTGTTTGTCCGTCCGTCGTCCACGCATTTTCTCCGAAACTACTGGAACAGATTTTTTTCAAAAATGGATATAAAATCCTAGGTCACTCGAGGATGATCCTCCTTCATCGACACTACCATCCTCCTTTTACTTTCAAAATGGCGGCCGAAAAACCTGCGTTGCTATAGACTGTAGCTCCTAAACGAATGTACAGATTTCAATGAAACTTTGCAAAAGTCATTTTCTCGACGCCCTTTAAATTTGTCTATATAAGATACTTCAACGAAAAGAAGCTGGAAAAAAAGTTACGAGGGATGGTAAAATTAAATAACTCGAAATTTTATACTTTTTTGGGGATATTGGTTTTTTAAAAGTTTACGAAATTTCTCAAAAACCAAAAAAAAAAATCATTAAAATCGGACAATTAGGAACAAAGATATGGTCTCCGGGTTTTTTTTATATGTTCTACTCCAAATGTTATATCCCTTGTTTGGTTTTTAAATTTTGAATATGTTACTGATATAATGCTATTTTTTTAGCATATTACCAATGATTAAAATAAAAATAGTTTAGTCCAATAATTGGAATCACCTTTTATTTATTTTTCGTTGTAACTATGAAGGTAATAATAAATTAATAATAAATAAATTTGTTACTTTAGATGTATAATTGTCTGGAAATAGTAGACCATTGTGGAATGATTTGCAGCGTTTTTTTTCTTCTTAATTTTCCGATAATGAGAATATATATTCCTATTGTTCTTCGATATATTTCAAATCTATTCTCAGACTGACCTTGAAGATGTTGGAAAAGACTCAAAGATTTTCGTAAAACAAAAACAAAAAATTAAACTTCGTTCACGAATAGTGAAAGGTACAAAAACTCGGAACACGTGTCCTACGATGATTGCCAAAGACCTTGCTCGAATCGGCTATTTTCAGTATTCTGTTTAGCGTAACTTTGTTAAGACGACGAGTAGTATATCCTTTGGCTGAATGACCCAGCGTGTTTACTTCGGGAGGGGTATTTTGTAAAGCTTTGTCTGCTGTTTGGTTGTTTTAAAATGATTGATGTATTATTATTGTTGTTTTTATTTGTTTGGCTTGTCAAAAACATAAATAGATAAAAAAAATTCTTTTTAATAATCTAGAATTTTTACCTCATACCAGACTAAAACGACAAGAAACCGCTCGACGTTCAGCAAATACTAGACAAACGCTCTAAACTTCCAATTAATTACAAAAGACTCATATACATGACTATAATAGGGCCAATTTGGACTTACAGAGTTAAGCTATGGGGCTCCACTAAACCATCGAATTCCTCTCGCATCCAATCCTTACAATCCAAAATCTTTCTTAAAATCCTCAATGCTCCTTACTTTGTCACTAATAAAATTATCCATAAAGATCTTAATGTTTCTTATGTTTCAGATCTGGCCCAATTCAGATAATTACCCTTCTACAATAAACTTCATAATCATCCCAACCCTCTCGTTTCTAACCTTGCTTCCTATTCAATTCCTGATAACCCTCCGAGGCGTCTGAAAAGAAGATGGCTCCGTGATTTCCTAATGTAGACATATCATTAGTGTGGATATAACAACCATTGGATAGTTAATTACCAAGAGTTTTTACGTCATTATATCCATATGTTCAAATTTACTAAATGTATTTCTTTAATACAGTTGTAAATATCATTAAGAAATAATAAAAAAAAAAAAAAATTTATAGTTATAAATACGACAAACAAAATTAGAAATTAGTAGTAGAAGTAGATATGATGTTGACAGAGCACTTATCACCAAAATTGTAGACACTATTAATTTCAATATTTATTTATGATGTCAGATTATAATGAAAATAACTTTAAACTTTTTAAACTATTTTATTGAATAATATAATAATTCAGCCACAATAGTTATGGTGAGGTAAGACCACATTCACACTATATATAGAGAATAAAGAGCCAAAATAACAACTAAATATTTATAAAAAAATATGTACTGTAAATAAAAATAAACGAACTTAAAGATAAGTAAATATGAACAAAAACAAAAACCCAGACATACCTATTTACAATCAGACGAGGATATCCCAAGATAGTATTGTCCTGAAAACTATAGAGGAAAAAGCAGGACTCCAGGAAATCCCTACGGTATTCTGTCAATTGTCTAAAAACAGTGAAGATTATGCAACTGAAAGTGCAGATTATGCAAATCAGTTCAAGTATTATTCAGTGATAAATTAAATAAATGAGCTAATTTTTCTTATGAGTATAGTAACACGAAGACGTTCAACATATATGAAAATTTAAAACGGGGTTTAAGGCAGAGAACAACAAAATCTTTAGAGCTTCTTCAACTCATTACGAAGCAGCTTGAGCAAATAGGGTGCTCGATATGGTACACAATAGTGTTGCACAAAATAGGTCTTGCACTTTGCAAGACCAAGACTAAGACCGACAAACTGTTGCAAGACCAAAACCGAAACTGTTAAAAAAATCTATTTTTACTAATCGATACTGATTTTACTAACGAAAATAGTTACTAATACTTGATAATTTTGTTTACTATATGTAAAGAATTGGTATTACCAAGATACTTTTGCATTAAACTCTTCCAATTTTTCATTCGGGTTAAATTAGGTTTCTCCTATTTAAAAAAATACAATAATGTCTCTATAGTAATAAGCTAATAGGTAACGGCAAGACTGTTGCGAGACTCTTGCTCAAGACCAAGACCAAGACTCAGTTTACAACACCAAGACTCATCTCGGTCTCGCATTTGGGCAACACTAGTGCACCAGCACCTGAAGCTTTAGGAGCTTTACCACCAGTGACGCGGTTGAAAGAGTAGCGCAGAGATCTCTTGGAGTCCTGCTTTTCCATCTATAGTTGGAGGGAGTAGCCTAGCTTGGGTTTCCCTGCCTGATATAGGTATGACTGTGTTTTTATGTTTTTAATTTACTTATCTTTAGGTTATTTAATTTTCTGTTGTACATAGTTTTTGATTATTATTTAATTATTTTGCTTATGTTAATTTTATATATTCTGTATATATGGTGCGAATGCCTCGCGCGGGCTCATTACCGCGTATGGGGAGCGTCCCACGGGTGGCGGATGTGGGGATGGTCGGTGGAAATTTCTTGGAAGTTCCTCCCGGCTAAGTCCGATGGACTCGCTGACCAACAATGAGAGGGGCCCTCCAGACTTGCTGGAGGGAGGGGACCTCCAGACTTGCTGGAGGTAGGGGCCCACCAGACTTGCTGGAGGGTGTGACGTAGGATTGAACGCCCTACTCACATATCTTTAGTTCACCAAACACCACAAAAAGTCATGGATCTTCCTAAGGTAAAACGCTCATTATCCGGAAGTAAACTAGTCCCCCGTTCGGGTCTCCGGGTGGGGACTGCTTTAGGGGATTCATGGCGCAAGTTGAAATATAGGGATTTAAATATTGGTACGTGGAACGTAAGGAGTTTAAACACAGCAGGGGGGCTAAAATCGGTCGCGAATGAGGTAAATGGGTACAATTTGGATGTCGTGGCTCTGCAAGAGGTTCGCTGGCCAGGGGAGGGCTCGATGAGGGAAGGGAAGTACACTATTTGGTACGGAGGAAGCGAGAATCATTGTTTAGGTACCGGGTTTCTAATTAGGCGTAGATTACTATCCGCTTTGAGGGACGTACAATTCTTTAGTGATAGAATTTCGGTAGCTACATTTCAGGGACGTTGGTTTAAAATCGCATTAATAAACATACATTGTCCGACCGAAGACAGTGACGATGAAGTCAAAAGTAAATTTTACGATAAACTCGAATGGGTTTATGATAAACTACCAAGAAACTACATGAAAATAATTGTAGGTGACGCGAACGCAAAGGTAGGAAGGGAAGAAGTTTATATTCCGACGATTGGTAAAGAAAGTTTGCACGAATATAGTAATGATAATGGGATCCGTCTGATAAACTTTGCCATCTCGAAAAACCTGATAATTAAAAGTACGACGTTTAAACATAAGGATATTCATAAATATACTTGGACATCACCGGATTCGCAAACACGAAATCAAATCGATCATGTCTTGATACAACACAGCTGGCAAAGCAGTATAATTAATGTACGGTCTTATCGCGGAGCAGAATGTGGGTCGGATCATGAATTAGTAATCGCGAAACTTCGACAAAAACTTAATACAAAAAAGAGAAAAGAAAACCGTTTCGATTTTGAGAATTTTAATTTGGAAAAATTAAAAAATCCATCAATTAGAAACCAATTCGAGCTAGATGTTAAGAATAGGTTTGAAGCTTTAGAGCTTTCTGACGAGGACCATGAGGATATTGACAAGTTATGGATAGAGATCAGAGATAATATTAAAGCGGTCGGTAACTCGTGTCTAGGCAAAAAGGAAAATAAGAATAACAAACCGTGGTTTGATGAAGATTGCTTAAACATGTGTGAAAAAAGAAAAGCCGCTAAATTAAAAGCTCTAAATAATCCTAGCGAAGACAATCTGGAATACTTCCGAATCTCAAAGAGCGAAACGACAAAATTGCTCAAAAATAAAAAAAGGGAGTATCTTAAAAATAAAATAATTGAAATAGAAACTAATAGAATTGAAAATAACGTAAGAGAAATGTACAAAGGTATAAACGGATCACGTAAATATGTAGGGCCCGTAACGTCTGGAATTAGGGATGATAATAACAATATTCTGACCGATCCGGTTGACATATTGAATAAGTTTAAGGACCACTTT